TTCTGATATCTCCTGGAATTATTCGTCGTATTTGTTGGTTATTCGTGTCTGCAAGTTTTCTTTGGACGAGTGTTATTTGGAACTTTTCTGGATCGTTTGGGAACGTTCAGTAATGCCTAGGCTAAAGAAAGGACGAAGCGTTTTTGAAGCAGACAGGAAAGTAAGTGATGATGAGTTGCCTGTTATTTGTAGTGATTTATATGATACTCAGCATGACAAGATTGATGTTCATGTTGCGCCGTCTAGTGATAGTAGAGGTTCTAAACTTCCAAAATTTGAGCCTCGCTATTTTGACGGAAACCCAGCTGACTATCCACAGCCTGTATAGAGTTTGAAGTCATGTTGAGTGGTTTTGTAATAAATGACGAAGTGAAGTTGATGTATTTATTGAGGTATTGCACTGGAGTCGCTGCAAGTTTATGCATCCAAATGAAGGATACGCTGAGGCTATGAGAATATTACGTCAAGGGTTTGGAAAGCCATTTATGATATCCTGTAGTGTTTTTGATACCGTTAAAGGCAATGGGGCGCAGTTAGGTGATAACTTCGAGGAACTCGCAGAGTTATTGAATAATTAAATGATGTACAGAAATACTCTCGTTTATCTTAATTGTAAGGATGAATTGAACTGAAGCTCTGCTCTTGAGGCAATTACTAAGAAATTACCCTTCGCTTACAAAGAAAGTTCATAAAAATCAGCTCCCGTTTAGAAGAGGATGGTTTAGAGCCCGGGCTAGATGATATTGTGAGACTGGTAAAGGACAGTGTCAATCAAGCGACGAGCAAGTTTGTCAGCATTCTGCATCCAACAGTAGAGCCTAAGGTGCCAGCAAATATAAAGAAGTCACTTGTAGTGAAGACACAAGGCACGACGAGAAAGGAAGAGTGTATCATTTGCCATAACACGTATCAACTTAGTGATTGTAATCGTTTAATCGCAATGTCTCCTGTAGAAAGGTTGAGAATGGCAAAACAGTAGCAGTTGTGCTTTAGTTGCTTCAGAGTGGGACACACAAGGTTGAACTGCAAGGCAACGGACATGGAAGGTAGATGTTCGACAGACCTGCATCCACTTTTGAGGATAGTAAACGAACCGGCGAATTCCATCAATTGTAACAGTACCTATAGAACCCATGACGAGAATGGTGCGGTGAAGAAGCCTGTAGTTGTAACTGGTAAGCTATTGTTGAATAGCGTGTTACAGACGACACCGCAGTTTGTGCAGAAGAAGAGAGTTACAGTTTCAGAGACCAGTTGTGACTCCACAAGCTCACAGGGTATTACTAGTCAAAGTAAAGGTATAAAACATTTAAGGATTATTGAGGAAGAATCCAAGTCATCTACTGCTGTTATAAAAGAGGTTGAAAATGATGAAGTCGACCATATAAATGGCGGTAAAGTGAATATTTGTGATAATGATCATGATAATGCACATTTGTCTTTGGCGGATCATGATGAGACGAGCGGAATGCCTACTACTACTGAGTCGAATAAAAGGTTCTGTACAACTTGAACGTGAAGAAGAATTAAAAGCAGAACTCCCTGTTTTGTTCCGAAATTTCAGCTACTGAGCGGTCACTATTCAGCCAAAAAAATCCAAAGTTTTAAACAGACTGCTGGTCGATCACCTGAGGTGACAACTGAGAAGCGAAAGCACCGTGCATGAAGCTCAACAGTGTATCAGAAATGAGAGGTTTCGTACAACCAATTTAATGGCAGCTTCCAATAAGTGAAGAGCAGTCTTGCTTAAGTGCCAACACGCATACCAAAATAATCATTGACAATAACGAGCAGAGGCATATTTAGTCACAGATGACAGTCGTGGATTTTAAACATGTATTATGAAAGCACTCTGGTAGGCAAGTATAACGGGGATCTCAGCCAAACATCAGGAAGAGCATTCGTCATCAAGTAGTTAAAGAAAGCCTTACAAATCAGAATACGGCAAAGTTAAACTTTAAGCACCAGTAGCTACCAATCAGCGAACGACGTCGATTTATCCAATGAGATTCACGAACGTAGTTCAATGTTGCATAGCGCTTGATTCATTTCTCTGAGTGCCATTACAAGGTTACGTTTGCAACTTGAGGAGGTTAGTGTCTTTTATTATTGCCTGGACTGAGGCTTGCTTGGAAAGGAGAGAAGTTGTTCGTATGGTGGTGTAGGGACTCTAAAAAGCTATACTAGGTCAACTGATGGTTTTGTACATCGTTGTGGAATATGCTGGAAGCGAGTTAGTATTAGAGAGGGTAATATTTCTTAGGAACTGTTTTGCTAGGTCGCATCTCTCCCTAACCCAGATTTTGTACATTTGCAACTACTGGATACTGAAACAGCCCGTGAGAGCCGCTGCTGCCGAGACGGAGAACAGCCTCGTCTCAACAGTTCAGTGGTATACCACTGATATACCAGCACTGCAGGGACATCGCCTCATGGAAAATGTACAGAAGTACTTCGTTGTTAGGTGGGGACGATGTAGTAGTCCATGTGGATGAGACAGTGTTGGTGAAGAAGAAATATAACCGCTGTCGTCAGAGAGCGAACAACATTTGGGTGATAGGTTTGTACGACAAATCCCTCCGAAATGGGTTTTTTGAAACAATAACAGAGAGGAAGGCGCCTGCTCTGGTACCTATTATAAAGCGACTTGTAAAACCGTGGTCAGTTGTGCATACCGACGAGTGGAAAGGCTATCATTTCGTGTGACTTCTCTATTGACAGTCACACGCTGAATTGGGAAATGCTTCTGTCCCATGTTCGCGAAAGATACCCGTTGTAACTGTTTCATCCTATTTTTTATACATTTTTCTATAAATATACGTTACCACTTATCATAAACGCCTCTTTCATGTGATTGGTCCGTTCAAGGTCGTTTGCTGATTGGTAGTTACTGGTGCTTAAAGTTTAACTTGGCCCAGAATACTTGGTGACTAGTCTCATCCTTTTAGGTCTCTTAATCACTAACTGTTTCTGAGTGCCCATAACACCCTGTGTAGTAATGACCCTACAACTCTGCATCACACAGTCACATAAGCGACTCTACGCATGCTAGTTCCATTAACCTCTCTTTTGGAGTCAAAGTTAGGGCTTTCCACTGACTGCATTTGCTTCAGACTTGAGCCCTAATAGAACCATAATATTGACTGATAAATCTTTGCTGTGAATCTTTACAACATGAAGGTAACGGATACATATAACGCATCCGTTAACAACAAGCTAACACTGTTTACCTAGGATTTTATGAACCAAACTTATCCAAGAACTCTCAAAAGCCATCCTGCCTACTGAAGTTCCTATACCGTACTGTCATCAGTAACTTCAAATTTTACGTATCCTGAGCTGCACATCAGAAATCATCTAGAAATTAATTTTTCAGCAGAACGTCTTCTAAAACAATTAAGCAGGGCTTTCCTGGTTGTGCCCCTCCAGCTTTAGGCCATTCGAATGAATTCCCTGCAGTGAGATGTGAATTCAACTTTCACTCATCGATGAAGTCGTTTCACTGCCCAGATGGCTGGAGGGTGATATGTTGAACAGTGAATTCTGTGTGGTCCAGAGCTTGCGTAGGCCTTCGCATTGATTTCTGACGAAGTTTTATTCCGGAATTTCTGTGAAATTATGCAAAGGTAGTTCAAGTGGAAATTCTTATTCCGCTGTTATCCTTGAACCTTGAAATCAGTCTCCCGAATAAATTGAGATCTGCAGCAGTTTTCGTATACAGAAGGTGTAAAGCTGTGTAGGATCAGCTGGAATAGGGAGGAATCGATTGTGTTGCAAATGCACCTGACCAAGTTGGAGGATCAGGTCACAGAGGAAAATCAGCCTTCAGTAATAATCAATATCGAAAAGTATTCATTCATACAATATTGGGGTAGGAGTTCTCTCAGGGCTTATGTGGTACCAGACTTTCTGGTGCAGAGACAGTTTGAAACGTCGCGCTTTTCCACACAGACTAAGTAAGCATAAATGTATGACCGAATTTAGTACTTCACGATGCCACTGTACCGCCACTACTAGAAATAGTGTTCTTTTACTAAAATGACAACTGTATGGAGACCAATTCTGAACCATTTCATGTACTACAGATCTAGGCGAAAACTCTTTATGATGTGTAATTTTACACAGACTGATGATTTTGAACCGACGATATTCCCTGCGGTAACCCTGGCAGAATCCCTCACCAGATAGCAGCACATGTCAGAAATAACTTCTCTCTCTCACAGGATGTACCACCTGTGGAATACATTGCTCGGGGATGTGGCAATCACTTCATCAACCAATAGCTTCAAGAGAAGTATCGGCCGATACGCAAAAGTTATGGGGCTGAGCGCATCCATCGATGAGGTAGACTAGTAATCGACATTTATAGCGGAGGAGGAAGTAGACTATTTTATCGGGGGCTGTACTGGTGTTGCAAACACCCGTTTTCTATAAATGTATTATTCTGTTTTTTATTTTCTGTATACGTACTAGCCCTGCTTTTTCCTTCACTTTACTTTCTGCACTATGTACTGTGTTCCCAATGCTTCAACTACGCTACAACTAATTCTCTTATCCTACCTTACACTTGTATGGTCTTACCGATATCCAAATCCGCAATAATCTGGCTCCCTGGAGCGTTTCTCAGCCTGACCAAAAGTATGCGTTGTAAGAAAACTCCCATATCCCAGCACAGTCATTACATTGGTATACACAAACATGTGTTCTTACGGTATTTATAAAAGCTGCACCAATCCAGAAAAACTAAATCTGAATCAGCGAAAGATGTAGAAGTGTTTCGAAAGAACGTAAATCAGTATCAAGATGTGAATAGATTTTTACAGGCTTATCAAAATGAAATTGGACATTGGATAGAAAGAGCATTCACTGCTGCAAGGTCATTTGTAGGTCATAATTCCCCATTCCGTTGACCCAGTATCGTTTTTCCGAGTTTGCGTTAACTAGATTGATTTCTATACGCTTGCTTGGAAGTGAGGTTACGGTTCATACAGATAAATCAAATGATTGGGAGCTGTAAGTTGTTTCAAAGTGTAATCTTATCCTTATAAGGATAGCGAAATAATTATTCCGTTATCTTTTTATCAGTTAAATGGAGCATATATATATGTTCTAGTGATGAAAACAATGACTTAAATTTGTGGGTTTTTAGTAATTAACCTTCATTGTAATAAATCTTGTGCACTTGTATGTTGACGTGTGGAATTCTACAGGGAATTAGTTACTTCACGTGTATGTAAATGTATATATCTTATAAGGTCTTACTTCACGATCACATTTGTGATTTCTTTTCATCGTAAATTTTAATGAAAATTTTTGAATTGTCCTTGAAACAGTGTAGTCTCGGAAAATATGCCTAGTGTAATCTTTATGTTAAAATTCCTGAAACCCCTTAAGCTTGTCATAATGCTGAATTAAATCTCACTAATTCTGACATAATCCTAACATTCTATAGTAAGTAAATTCTGAATCTGTTCTGAAATGGATCCTTTAATGGCACAGACTAGAACTCAGTGCAGGTGTTTAGCGTAATCGGCATTAATTCAGCACCCTGTTCTTTTCCTAGGCATTTTCAGGAGTAGATTAGAACCTTTTTGGGTTTGCTTATCAGCGTTGTTCCAGCCCTCACAGGACATATTAAGCACGGAATAGCGTTACTTCAGAACGAAAAGTCTTTATTCGGCACCCAGCTCTCCTTTTAAGCACGACCGGCGTTATTTCAGAAGATAGTGGGTAAACAAAGTCTTCATTTACCATAAAAAGGCATTATCAAAGAATAGGTTAGAATAAGTTTAGAATTGTTGTAAGCTTGGGCCTGTAGTCGGCAATTCCATGGAGTTGACTACTCATATCGTTGAAAACTAATCCTAAAATAACACTTATAATCACTAGAATATTGTATATATCAACCTTAAATCAATGTTAACCTTCTTTGTTTTATGTCTCTAAACCTACGCATCTCCTATGAAATTATTCATCTAAGAAGCTGCAAATATTAGTTTGTGTAAGTAGTTTTTATTGTTAGCCAACTTTTTGTTTATTCCAAGCTGGTTTTTAATCTTTTTGCAGCTTTAGATATTATCAATTTTTAAAAGGGCTTAAGAATTCTAATGACGGGTATTTACGTTGCTGTTGAGAACATGACACGCTGCTATGAAATTGACTCTTCACACATCTAAGATTGCATCGTAACAAAAAAGAAAGCATATTTATTGGTTGGATAAGAAAAAGCTGCGTGTCAATTTACTAGTTAAATACTCTGATCACATATATTTGATAGTTTCGTTTGTACTTATGTCGAGTCCGTAAGTCAGAGAGGTTTGGTTTCTGACCATAGGATGGTAACCGATTGTTTTATTCAGAAAATTTTTGAATTTACATTGACAAATCTGAATAAGTCGGATTCATTCAATCTTGTCAGTTAATATGAGCTTTTATCATAGAAGCAACTACTTGTCAAATCATAGTTCAATTTTTTTTAATGATTTATGTTCAGTATCAGGAAATATGTAGGCGAATAGGTTTTGATACCGAAGATATTCCATTTTATAGCGTTTTTGCCTTGGCTTCATCACTAATTTTTCCGCAAGAATTCTTTTGTAATCAATATACTTTCTTTATCCTTCATGAACAACTTTAGCTGATCACTTAGTTGTTTTGTTTTTCATCCTCTCATTGTGTTAATATAAACGATTATTCCCCTAAATCGAAGGTGACATGTTATCTTGTGTAATTTACTTACAGCTTTTGATGGTATTCCATTACGTCTGACAGTAGCTTATCAGGGAATTCATCAAAATAATGTCACAAGTTGCAGCTTTTCTAAATGCGGTCGGTTCTTTGCCTTTGTCGATGAACCAAGAATTGTTTTGGGTTATTGGGTTAATGATCTCATGTAAGTTGGTTTTAACTTTTTGCCATAAGTTAAATTTGCTTGATGGTTCTCACTTTACTAACTTGGGATCCCTAAATAATTTTTCCTTTTTTCTCTTTCATAATTTGATGCGTGCATTCGGAGTAAAGAACGTTGTTAAAATAAATTAGTGAACTACTGTATAAGTGAACGACTAAATGCGTATTCTTTTGTTAGCTTGTATTATGCATTTCATGTGAAAGTAATGATGAGAGCCGATTAACTGAATAAATTATGACCGGTAAATCATGATTTGAATCCACAACACAGGTTGTAGCTGTAGTAAACAAAGGACCTACACATCTGCGTATATAAAGTGACTGGTAACCTTTTGCTCACCTAATATCGTAAGTTTAGTGCTCACAGTATCGATAATATATCGAGAAGTGGGAAACAAACCGATTAATCATTCTTATAGCCAGTTTAGGAATTTTCCCCATTATTCACATACTCTAAACGTTACTTTTGTCGAGCTTTTTCCAATTTTTATAGTGAATATTTGATTTGAGTTTTTAGTTACAGACCACAGCAGTAATATCACTAACATATGACTCCCTTTATACGAACATGTCGACTGCATCCATACACTTCAAAACGTGTATTACTTTGTAGATAATTCTATCCAGCCTGAATAATGGAGACTACATTTCCAGCAAAAGTGGACATTTAGATAACAACATAGAATAATATTTACTTTAAAATACCTCGTCCTTGTCAATGTAGTGAAAAAGTAAATATTGGAAAATAATACATCATCAAGATGAAAAATGTGAGTGAAAAGAAAGAGTAAGTAGATAAATACCAAAAAAATGTGCAAGGTTTTTTGCAGAAGACATATGATAAACATGCAGTCCTGTCTACGATTGGACATATCCTCAGCTTCACAACCTAGGCTGATTTCGATTGTTTGTAGGATTTCATCATGAGCTGACATCAGTTAGAGAACCACTGGAAATCCTAGGAGTATTGGACAGTCGTTTCGTCCTAGTTTGGGACTTTTCATCAGTACGCACCCACCGGGGTTCGAACCCAGGACCTTCTGGTTACAAGGATAGTGAGACCATAGACCATTAAGCCACTGGGACCCGACCCAATGGCCCATGAATTCTAACTTCTCCCAGTTTTCCTTTTAACGAAGAAATCCATTTGCATTTCTGTTACATACTCATCGCCAACAATTTTTTTCGGCGAACAAAGTTTTTGCCAACATTCACTCAATACCAGTAGGTCATTTTTTCCCATTCCAGTTGATTTCAAATTTCAGGTGTTCCCATTGAAGGCATCTCTACCGAAATCATAAGTCTGGCTCTGCCTGAGATCATGAATGACATCTGTCGAGACAAGAATAAGAAATATGCAATATATTCTACTGATGTTTAGGATGAGTACTAGCTAGTCGGTTTTTTTAAAGGAGTAAACATTGGAGGGGGCCGTTCGGTTGGTGAGAAGCTGAATTCACCAGCAATGTATCTCTACTAGTTTAGATGATTAGGCCGAACTGTTACGATATCGAATCCATTAAGATTCACGAATTTGATTAGAAACTGTGAAATTTAAAAGGCTGGACGGCATAAAAATCCACTTCTTCAGACTTTTTTCATTAGTTGGGGATTAGTATTGAAACTTTATTCATATGTTTGACCACGGATTAATATCATTCAGAGAACCATTGAAATCTAGGGTGTACTGGACAGATGTTTTGTCCATCGGCAGTATGCACCCATGAGGGTGCCAGTGAGTCCCAAAATGAGACAAAACCACTGTTCAGTACCCCCTGGTTTTCAATAGTTTTCCCACTGTCTGTCTGTCTGTTTTCGACATAGAACTTTGCACATATGTGCGGCAGTTCAAGTCGCCACACTCCATGTAGCACACAAAGCAAGAGAAGAAAGTAGGAGAAATGCATAACATAGACAGTAAACAGAGGTGTGAGACAAAAAGAATAGTAATAACGGAGAACAAAACAGTTTCATCGGAAATCATAAGTCACAAGGAGTGGATGCATCTGCGCCACTGAGAACGATTTTGAGCCATGTCACCAATTGTTTCCAACCATTGGTTTTTACCGTCCCGAGGACTCCAACCAGGAAGTCTACATCTCCCTACGTGACTTAGACTAACTGTTGTGGATTTCATTGACTGGTGCCATGTTTTTGTTTGACCACCGCTAGCTCTTTTCCAGCCTGGCCCTATATCAGCTAACATTGCCCATTGTCGAGGAAGGCGATGACTAGGCATACGTAACACATGTCTTAACCATCTCAGTCGATGTAATTTCACAGTCTCGTCGACTGATTTCCCCTCCTTACCTAGCACTCGACGCCTAACCTCAATATTGCTCACCTTATTATACCACTTCACGCGAGAGATAGAACGCAGACACCTATGATCGAAGACAGCTAATCTTTTCATGTCTTCCGCTCTCAATGGCCAGGACTCACAGCCATAGAGGAGGACGGAGCGGACTGTTGAGCAGTACACACGCCCTTTGGTCGATAGTCGGATATCGCGTCTACGCCAGAGACGGCGTAAACTGGCGTATGCGAACCTAGCCCTCTGTATTCGTGCTGATATTTCGTTTTCCCACTGATATCGATCCGTGTAATCAAACTTGAAACAAGCTAAATCTCTACAAACTAACTCTTGAAAATTATTCATTTGGTTGTTTTAATTTGTGAATACAACTTATTTTGTATTTGATCAAGTAACTTCTGATCTTTCTTTCTTTTTTTGTTAATATATGTGTGCAGTTCAACTTGTTTAGATGAAAATAATTTTAGAGCATCCCTATCTCTGCACTGTCAAACCTCAAGTTTACTGTCAGACGAAGTTGCTAGCAATGGTGAATCAATAAATTCTGATACAAATGATACCAATACTAATTGGCAGTCATTAACATCCGAATTGTTAAGTGGTGACTCATCACCTGTACATATGAAGCCGATATTTCGAATAAAAACTAACGGAGATGTAGTTTGTATGACATTTGCGATTGGAAATAGCTCTTTTTGTCGATTACCTCATCGTGCTCATAAACGCAGATCATCTGTTGTTCGTGATTCTCAGGTTTCTCTGTTACTATTGGGTTTAGCTTCTGGTGTGATTGAAGTTTATAACGTCTGTGGCTTAATATCTAGTTCACCACGTAAGTGTTATTTTTTACTTAGTGTTTTACTGATAGATCATTTTTTATGTTTTATTTTTATTTTAACTCAACACAATTCAAAAAGCACTTTACCTTTTTCATACTCTTGACTGTTTCTCATCGATTAGAATGTGTATTGTTGAAATAGTGTGACATCATACTTTGTGGCGCGAATGAATCTCAATCTATCCGACCTCAAATTGTACGCAGAGAGAAGAGGTCAACACACATACGAGCAACCTCTGGGTTCTGTGTACATAAAAGTTGTATTAGAAGTATGATTGAGCGTTCATATTCGGACGAAAATGTAATTTAGTAGTAATTTCGTAAGTAAATGTTACGATTCTACTTTTTTCTAGCTTACATTTAATGCTTTGAAATTATTTTTTTTTTCACAGATGTCCCCAAATATGTTCTTACGGACAATTGTACTCTTGTATATCTGCTGTCAGTAACTGTTGATGGAAGTCTTCGTGTAGGTTCTGTACATCATGGTGGTGAAGTAAGATTATGGGATTTATGGGATGATGGGAATATGTATGGAAAATTACGACATAAGTTCACCATCCCAACAAACTGTACTACTACTACTACTAATAATCACTCATCCGGTGAAATTCAAGGTGAAGCATGTACTTTCGCTTGGCATCCACATGGTAAACATATATTTTTGGCCGGGGAACGTGGTCATGCTGTTGTGCTTGAAGTGAGTTGACATTTGGTATTCATATTTGATTTTGTTGTATGACAATATGTATATTGAAATCAAATTTTATCGATTCCTTAGGTTTTTCAAGTACTCTGAAGTTTATAAATATCCAGACCGTAGATATTGCGAATTTTCTAAAATAATTTGAGTTTACAGTCAGGTTGAAATGATTTGGAGAAATAACGTGTAAATACAATGACTGTATTATATAGTATATGAATTTTAACTTACGTCTCACTAGTGCTGCCGTTGTTGTTCTCATTAAGATGTGGGTTTTCACAAAAATTAAGACTACAGTTAATCAAATTTCCTCGAGTTTTATTTAGATTTATTTTCCTTCGATGTATTGTTTCACTTGGAACCTCCCGGTGGGTGCGTACTGACGAAGAGTCCAAAACTAGGACGAATTAGGTGTCCAGTACTCCCAGCTGGTTTTCTAATGGTTCTCTAACTGATGTTAGCTGATGATGAAATCCTCCAACCAATCAAACAAAATCCCTACAAAACAAATACTTGAAAATTAAAAAATATAGTAGCCATGATTAATTTATGTTGTAATCCTAATTGAATCAGAAGTCTTCTGAAAGGATGATTTTTGATCTATTGTTGTGATCTTGATCTGAATAATTATCTTTTCTACTAAGCTTTTACTCAACTGAATTATGTACTGATCATTTGTGTCTAGAGTTGTATGAAATTCTCATATTAATGTTTATTAAGTATTTCTTCTATAAACGCCTTTCTAATTGTACCAGTATATCTTAGCAATGATTGTATAAAAAGCGATTCTAGCCCATATTTGCTGATTTACTATTATTGCTACATTGCAGGGAATTTGTACTTTATTATCTTCGTATTATTTATATCCCATGATCAGGAAAACAGGTGCTGTGTATTTGCTCTTCCCTTCTCTGGGCATGTAAATCTATTTTTCGTCATTGATAACTGTTGAAATCCTGTTTTTAGTGTTTTCTTTCTAATCGTTGGATTCGAATTCGCCTCAGTATTGCAGAAAGTGATTTCTTAAGCTAATCATTTACTTCAAGGTGAAAGACACTTGGCAAGTATCTCAGTCTTCACACAAGTCGTAATACTACCTTAATAATTTCATGTAGTACACGTTACAGTTTTCCAATATCTTTCTTATGCTTAGATTGTGTTTAGTTGACTATGATAATATGTTATTACTCCTTTGAGTTCCGAGTGGAACATAGGCCTTCAACAACACATCTCCACTTTGCTCTATTTGCTGCTGTCCTCTTCAGCTGGGTATACGATTGACCACACGATCTCCTCCATGTCACTGACGATCCACTAGTCGCTTCCCATTTGGATTCCAGTCGAGGGCATGGTGCGCAATGTCATTCGACAGCCTCCTCAACGTATACCCGATCCATCTCCATTTTCTCCTTCATATTTGTTGAGCGATTGACCCTTGGTTTGTTTTTTCTTAGTGCTAATTCTTTCTGGCCGACCGGCTGGGCCTTTGGACTTAAGTTTAGAACCAGTGAAGGCAGCTGTTGATAAGTGTCTATAGCTTGTTGGAAATCCTTTTCGTGACACAGTGCAAGTTTCTGACCCATATAGAAAAACTGACTGACTTCACATTTGTGTTGAAAATCCGAATCTTGTTCTTTATGCTGGCTGAGTGAGTGCAGAAGATTTCCAAACTGGTTTCAGGTTGATAAAGGCGTATCTTGCCTTTCTGATTTTGACCTGTTTTGACATCTTCATCCGTGCTGTGCGCCTGCAGTTGAAACCGTGCTTCCTAGATAAGTGAAGGAGGCAACCTCTGTTAAATCTCTCCCGTTGATGGTGATTAGTGCTGGTACTAATAATATGACCTTTTTACGTTACTTCAGCCCACCTACTCTTCTGTAAGACATGATCACCCATTTAAATCCCTGGTTCATGGGAATGGTCACTCCAATATTGAATCAGTGGGTTGTGGGTTTGAAACCTCATCCCAACTACCGAGGTTTGGATACATCATATCAGATGTGTTGTATTTCTAACTGCATGTTAATATCTTTAGTTTTAGTGTAAAATTTCTGGTATATTTAGTTATTAAAAGCAGCTAATGATTATTCCTACAGTAACATTAGTAATTTGTATTCCAGTAGCTTACAATAACGTTCCTATTTTTTTAGATATTACTAATCAGTAATCTAATGGGGCCATATAGATAAATATATGACCTTACCTTATTATTTACCTTCTACTTCATTTTAGGCAGAGTCTCCTTTTTCTCGAATTGCTTACATTAGGTCTGGTCATTATCATCGTATATCTGTTGCTAATTATTCTAAAGATGGAAGTTTATTGATTACTGCTTCATATGATTCATGTTGTGCTGTCTGGTCTGTTCCTGAATACCAGTGTTTACATCGTTTCTGGTGAGTATTGTCGCCATTTTTTGTTGTTGAGTAGTTGTTATTAATATGCAGAATAGGTTTTCAAGATATATCCTTTATTTAGTTTCTGTGGATTTGATTTGTGCGAAGAAAGAATCACCGAGTCGGTGGCATAGCGGTTAGGATGTTCGCCGACCATGCGCATGGTCCGGGGTTCGATCCCCGGCCGACGCACTCCTTTACCTGGCTAAGCCAGAAATAATGCTGATGAAGAGAAAAGGTTGGGTATGAGGCTAGCAACCCCATCCTGTAAAATAAAATAAACACTGTTACAGAAACTTCAAGCCACTAGCTTGAAGCCTTATGTTCCACTGGGGAACGCGAAGGAAAAAAAAGATCTATACATCAATCGATTTGTATGTACGAAATTCATTTATGTAGCTCAGTAATACGGTGTTTAACTCTACTTCAGCCTGAATACTCGCATAGCATAATAAACCCCCTACTACATAAAGTGAAATCCGGAGCCTGGTGAATAAATCTATACAGAGTGACTCATGTATAGAAGTTCTTATAGTGCATAAGTTAAATTTTGCTATGTTTAAATGTTTCTCCACGATTTCTAGTGGTCTCTTCTCCGTACTCACAACATTACTAGACATTATCTTTAAACATACTGAGTTGTGCCATTATTATATCATTATTATTATTATTATTATTATTATTATTATTATTATTATTATTCCAATATCAATTAATCAGTAAGGTTCGTGTTCATGTGAATATATATATGATATTACTTCTTTCCTCTATAGGCATATGGGTCGTGAGCCTAGTATTCCCCTTCGTGGAGGATCAAATGGTCATCATATTTATGGTTTAGTTATATCTCCTGACGATTTTTATTTTGTCACAATTTGTGAAGATAGGTAGGTTGATTGTGGTGGATGGTTCTCCTTCTCGTTTCATTTTTTTTCCACTTTTTAATGTAACATAGTTGGCTAAGTTAAAGTATAGAGACCCAAGAGGAGGGGGGGCAAACGCATCATTGACCTTGTACGCATACTATTCGTTGGATAACTGGACCTATCATTATTATATCGCCACTATGAACGCTTTGTATGAATAGAGGCGCAAATTTCATCCCGTTCTCGTTTTTAAGTACTGTTTGGATAGTGTGTTGATAGCTCGTTAGGGTCACGTTTATGTCTAGTGTTAGGATTAAGGTTAAGATTAGGATCTCAGTTATGATTAGAGTTAGTGTATTTTATTTTTATTATCGACATTTTTCTACTAAATAACTGTCTGTCCCTAACTAGAACCTGTAGTAATTCGATGGAAAGCTTCTAGAGAAGACTGGAAAATAAGACAAGAGCGATAAGTAGGTCACAAAAAGAAATCATGTTCAGTCACCTTGGTTGATTACATGTCTTTGATCATAAGTGCCTGCATTCTATTTCCCGTGTGAAGTGGTATAGTAGGGTGAGCAGTATTGAGGTTAGGCGTCGAGTGCTAGGTAAGAAGGGGAAATCAACGAGGCTGTGAAGCTACATTGACTGAGATGGTTAGGACATGTGTTACGTATGCCTAGTCATCGCTTTCCTCGACGGGTAATGTTAGCTGACATAGGGTCAGGCTGGAAAAGAGCTAGCGGCGGTCAAACCAAAACATCGCACCAGTCAATGAAATCCACAACAGTTAGTTTAAGCCACGTAGGGAGATGTAGACTTCCTGGTTGGGGTCCTCGGGACGGTAAAAACCAATGGTTGGAAACAATTGGTGACATGGCTCAAAGTCGTTCTCAGTGGCGCAGATGCATCCACTCCTTGTGACTTATAATACCCAATGAAACTACATTGTTCTTTGATATTACTATTCTTTTCGCTTCATACCTCTGTTTACTGTCTCTATTATGCATTTCTTCTGCTTTCTTCTCTTGCTTTGTGTGCTACATGGAGTGTGGCGAATTGAACTGCTGCACATTGGTGCAAAATTCTATGTTGAAAACAGACAGACAAACATGTATAGTAAAACTGATGCTCATCATTATAACTGGGCGATATTTTTAAGTCACATCATGGGAAAATATCCTTTTTATTGTGTTTTATCATTATTATCTGTATATCTCTTGTATATAAACATTTTTATGTAAAATCCAGTGGTTTTCCTGACTGGTCGGCTCAAGGTCAGTTGTGCGTTCGCATTCCATGGGTTGCTGTAGTTTAACTTTGCCAAGTGATTTTAATAATATGGGAGATGTAATTCATAAGGCCAAGAGCTCAACTTACAGTCGATGGGTGGCGAGTTCGAACACCACTCAAACTTCTTATACTTAGGCAACCAATCATTATTAACAGCCTTTTCACAACAACTGTAGTTCACAGTATGTAACATTAAAAATCTGTTTCGAGTAACTGAATTCAAACAAACAGTTTTACCAATAAGTTTTTCAATGATTACGTAAGCATTCCAAAAAATCGCTTCTGACTAATTAATTAATTTATTCCCTTAAATACAAATTTTGTTGTAAATTAACCTTGTTTGAAGCAGTGTTATCGAATTCGGTGGTTTTAGACAGTCGTTACACTTTTCTCACATCTCATGGTCATTTGATTTTTTTTTAATCAGTGATTTGCATAATCCAAATATCGATCCCCAGCTCATTGACGACTACTGGATGGATGTCCCAAAGCTGTACTGAGTAGTCTTGACCAGTGGGGTTCACTACGTCAAAGTGTATTCTCACCGGAGTCATTGTTTGAAGGCAACGATATATTACGAGTTGACAAAGATATTAGGAGTCCAAATACCTGAATTGCCAATGAGCTTGGTCACGCGACCTAAAGGTTTCGGGTTCAAGCCTTTGTGGGGTCGCGAGTGCGTACTGGTAAAGAGTCGCAAACTGGGACGAAACATCTCCCCAGTTTTCATTTACCTCTGTCTGCTTCTGGTTCCTCATAAAGTGCACAATAAAATTTGCAGTTTATTGTCCTGTATTTCCAAGTCTATTTAGTCAATGGCGTTATGTTGTGCCGTGTGCTACTGATAGGACTTATCAGTGGTATATATGTAGAGATGTTCATCGGGATAAGAAACATTAAATAGCAGGGAAATAGATTTGATGTCAGAGAAAGCAAATGGTATAGCGTTACGGAGAAACATGGGAGACGTGAAAGGAACACAAAGAAATACCATGTGAGGGCCAGAAGTAGCGCAACATGGACGATCTGTGCAAATGGTGCGTTGAAGATAAAGTGTACATAATTTGTCTACATAGAGATACCAAATCACTAATAAACATCCCTTTGCCAAGGTTTTTGCGTCTTCTACCGTTACAATGTGACTGCATATTCACTTTTACAGTGGCACACGGTAATGTTTAGGACAGTTTATTGTTTGTCTACTGGAAATAAAGAGCGCAGTGGCAGCCTATATTTCATGATACGTGAGAAAATACCACTTGTCAACTTATCTTTAAGCTATGAGTAGGTTCATTCCAGTCCTGAAGCATCATTTCATATTTGTCCGACATAAACTGTTTGTACGCAGTACTTTATATGAAGTATTTTGATACATCAGGCCCCAAAATACTACTGATATCAGATTTCAGAAACTGTTGTAGGACTGAAATTGAGGTGTAATGCTGAGGTTCACTGTTTAAAAATTAAGTATTTCGCATCTTTCTTTCCTCCTCTCTTCATATATGTAGAGTCTTTTTACTACCTTATATTTTTCAGTTTTCATATTCTCTGCTATACAGCAAAAGTTAATTGTCAGTGGTTATAGAAGGCAATTAAACTTAACTTAATAACTACTGTCTGAATCAGAGGTTAATTGGTAGATGGTGACTAGCAGTGGAGTCCAGGATACATATTTCGTCCTATTTGGGACTCTTCATCTGGGTGCACCTGCATTCGTCTAAGCATCGGCATCGGCTGTACTGTTATAAAGTCTGTCTGTCGTGATTAACATTACTTCCATATAGTTCAGACTTGGTGCACGCATCACCAAGAGCATTTCCAACATGCCACTGCTGACTTTCATCAACAACCACCCCGTTCGCTGGCTCGACACTGATGGTCAAATGGGCGGAGAGGATAAGCAACAAGGGATTCTGTTAACGAAGCTTCCAACAGCCACCCACTGACAAACATATATGCCGAAGATAGTGAAGATGGATGGGATACACTCTGAGGAGACCGTTGAATGATATCATACGCCATGCGAACCCTCAATAGTGGAACACGAATAGAAAACGACGAGTTGGGCCTGCTTCGAAGGTTACATGGTTGAGTTCGTGTTAGGAGAAAGTAAAAGCTTATGGCCAATCATGAAGTCATCTAAAAAAGAACTGCAGAGAACAAAGTGAAGTTGGAGATATGATGCTGAAGTCCTATATTCCACTCGGAACCCAAGGAGTTGTAATGACCCAATTAAGATTAGTGACGTAGATGGAAAATGTATTTCTTCGTTTAAATTACAATCAAATATAATGTTACCTTTCACAGTTTATCCCTATTACTATCATTGTTTTTCCCCTCGCTTCTTTTTCAACTCAAAGATGCGTTCGTTTATGGCCATTAGCTCCTGTCAATTCCCCATTGAAGATCTATTTTGAGCTAGCCCTTCAATCTCATTCTGGTTTGAAATTTCGTAGTCTTGCATTTAGTTCATGTGGTCGTCTTATTGCTGTTACGTAAGTCCTAAATTATATTTCTTTGTTTGTTAAAAGTTTGCATTCATCTTCAATTCTTTTTAACAAATATATTATCCAAAAAGTTTGTCATATGTGATAAGGTTGTTGGTGTTGTTATTGTTGATCTCAGAGATATTTTGCCTTTATTCAATAGTTGTCATTCATCCTTAACAGCACTCACACTTGTTTTTATAACTCCTTTGTGTTCCGAGTGCAACCAAGGGCTTCAAGCTTCAGCTTTGAAGTTTCAGCAAGCGTTGGGGTATTTTTACGATGTGGGGTTGCTAGCCTCACGCACAGTCTTCCTTCTTTACCCTGGTTGCTACCAGCCAACCGAATTTTAGGAGTACGTTGGCCGAGATCTCATGCATGATTGGCGACCATCCTACCACTGGACCACTGATGCAGGTTTAGGTATTCCTTTCTTTGATATGTTGTTTCTTAGAAGGTGTAGTGATGAATATCTTTGAAGAACCACTTATCGCTGAAAACATTCACAGAACGAGCTATTGACCAATTTCTACAGTTGGATGCTTGTCTGTCGGAAAACAAACCTTATCCATTCCCTCTGTTATAAGGTAAAAGGAAGGTCTGTAGTTCAAACTGTGTTGACATAGATCTATCTTTCTTAATACCGAGGCTTGCTAAAAATGCATGTCCCAACCATAGTATCAAGAAACACTAAGGAAAAGCATTTCAAACTGGTTCTACTTACCCAGTGATTTTATTGATTTCTTACGCCTTTCTGTATGTATTGGTGGTTCAGTGGTAGATTGCTCTCTAACGTGGTCCGGGGTTCAATTTCCGGCCGACTCAATCCTAAACCCTTCGTTTAGTTTATTGACCGGCAGCAAATCCAGAAAACAAGGAAGGTTGAGTGTGAGATTGTCAACTCCACCCCGTAAAAAACAAAACCATCGCTACTGCAACTTCACAGCTTCAGGACCTATGTTCCATTGGGGACACAAAGTAATGAAAAAAACTTTCTCATATATATATATATATATATATATATATATATATATAATGGACTACTTTACATAATGCATAACCTACTGCTTTTCAGTCTCTTGGTATTTAACTGTGACTAAAACTACGAATATTTTTGTCGTAATTAAGTTTGTTGTCATTATTTTGGAGGCCTATTATGTATGTTTCCTCATGGGACATATATATGTGTATATCAAAAAATCAGATGATTATTATTTCGTTGGAAAGAGAGGCTCTTCGCTGAATATCGCCTTTTTAAAATTACAATAGCCATTGAAATTATGTTCCTGATTCTTTGATACATGCTGTCCGATGATTTTGATGGGTAGGCTTGTAATTATCAAACTTCTTGTGTTGTTCTGAGTTCACGTCATCGAAAGGTAAACTTATTTTTTCTGAAAAAACCCGTCACGATTTACAACACTTCGTTTGACTGAATATCTTAAAGTTTGGTCACTGATTGATGTCAGTTAGAGAACCATTGAAAACCAGGGAACTACTGAACTGGTTTCTGGGATTGGTTCCGTATTAATAAACTTACCACCGGTTACGGATCACCGTATGGTAAGTCGGGATGTACAATTGTTTGGGTCGACCTTTTCTAACCTCCTCTCTCCAGAGTGGAGAGACAGCATAGCTGGCTGGCATGCTGGTCATCTGAGGGAAACACCTCACTGCTGTTCCATCCCTGTTCCCCAGCAGAACGACTTCGCCCACAGGCCCCCAGCATAGTGTAAGAAAGCTTCTCACACACTGCCGGTAACTGCTTTTAGTCGAATCGCTATCCTAACAACCCTCCTGGCATTTTAGGACTTGCAGTAACGATAGTTCCAGCCAGTGTAGCTTGTTGGGTCATTGTGATGTGCAATCCAGACCATCACGTCAAGGTAGCAGCTATCGGTCGGGGAAGATGGATCAGATATGCGCTAAGGAAACCGTTGAGTGACATCTTGAGCCTTGCCGCAGAGTGGAACTGGAATGCGAAACGACGAGTTGGATTAGGTTCGGTGACATGTAGCAGATAATGTGAAGAGGAGATGAGAGACTATAGACAATCTTGGAGCCAGCTTAAAAAGACTACAGAGAAGAGGATGAAATGGCAATCTGATTTTGAACGTCCCACTCGGAACCCGAGGGAATGATAGTAGTTAATTTGTAGTCCTTCACTTCGTTGTTTTGACAATTTAGAGTGACATTAAACGTACATATGGTTATTCACATGTTCATTTCAAAACAGAATCTCATGACCACTGAAATCTGAATATAAATAAACATACATCTATAACGGTGAAATCACTTGATTTCTTAATGTTCCGTTTTTTAGAAATCTCTACATTATTGACACGCATGAATTGTTTAACCAGTTAAAGTGATTGATAACTGCAGGGCCTTAGAAAAGAGGCTTTGAAGAAGAATGTTACACATGCTAACAGTTGTCTGTCAGTGATTGGAATTTGCTGACTGGTTCTTTGTTCATCAGCGGGATATTACTTTGTTACTATGGTTGTGCATTTACAATAGAAATCAATTAATTGCATAAATTCATTCAAGCAAGTCCCTAAACGAGCGACTGTGTAGTCTCTTGGGTTTTTTCCATTCCCCTATGGCACATTAAGTTATTATCCCCTTGGGTTCCGAGTGGAAGATAGGACTTCAACAACGCATCTCCACTTTGTTCTATTTTCGACTGTCCTCTTAAGCTAAGTTCACGATTGCCCATAATCTCTCATCTCTTGAGTGTCACCCATGGATGGCCCACTCGTTGCTTCCCATTGAGATTCCACTCGAGCGATGTCATTCGGCGGCCTCCTCAATGTATACCCAACCCATCTCCATTTTCTCCACATATTTGCTGAACAATCGGCTCCTGGTTGGTTTGTTCCCAGACAAAGTTTCTTGTTGCAAATTCTTCCTGGCCGGCCGGCTGGGCCTTTGAACTTAAGTTTGGAACCAGCGAAGGCAGCTGTTGATAAGTGTCTGTAACTTGTTGGAAATCCTTTTCGTGACATGCAGTACAAGTTTCTGACCCATATCACAGAACTGACTGACTGACTTCACATTTGTGTTGAAAATCTGAATCTTGTTGTTTATACTGGCTGAGTGAGTGCAGGAGATTTCCAAACTGGTTTCAGGTTGATGAAGGCGTGTTATGCTTTTCCGATTCTGTCTGGTTTCGACATCTTCATCCGTGCTGTCCGCCTGTAGCTGAAACGGTGCTTCCTAGATAAGTGAAGGAGGCGACCTCTGACAAATCTCTTCCGTTCATGGTGGTTGGTGCTAGTTGTTGTTGCTGTTGGTTGGTTATCTTCATCTCCTCCGTGTTCTCTATTTTCACCTGGAGTCCTGTCTTCTCTGCCAGTTTGTTGGTTTTCATCTGTAAGTCTTCGAATCTGTGTGACACCACACATAAATCATATGCGAAATCCAGATCTTCTAGAGCCTTCTTATCGGTACAACGTATACCTGTCTGCCCAGTCCCTACAGTCTTCCACATAATCCAGTCCACCACAATCAAGAATATAATCGGTGACAATAAGCAGGCAGCCTTGTCTCACTTGTGTAGTCACTTGGAACGCCTCGTTGAGTTTCCCGTTGTGAATCACCTGACATGTGGCATTGTCATTTGACACAGAAATACAATATGATTTAGTGATGACGTTTCGAGTCCAATTTATTGCCGTTAATCCTACCAAGGCACTCGCATAACTTCTAAATGTTGGTTATACTAATCTCATTATTTCTTATCCTTTGATTTTACTGGCAGTAATGTTTTCCTTATCTCTAGCATCGGTGTTACATCATTCCTATTGCACGCGTTAGGGAGAGATTGATTGCTCAATCGTTGTCCATCGAACCTATACCTAACGCATGGAATAGGAATGATGCAACGCGAATACTAGGAATGGTGGCTTCCGATGGCTTCAGCTATATGTAAAAGACGAATATGTAAGGGAGAATTAAGATTAATCAGAATACAGTAGATAACTTTAAGACGCCTTGTTAACTAACATTCGAATTTATGCTCACTACCAATGTTAAGTCAGTCACTTCTAGTATATGGGTCAGAAACTTGCACTACGCGTCAGGAAAATAATTTCTAACAGGCCATTGTAGATTTTTACAAACAGCTACCCTTGCTCACTCCATAAAGAAGATCAAATGACTGGTCAGAAAGAGTTAACGACAAGGAACTCTGGGAATGAACCAGCCACGAGTCTATTGCTCAACTAATATGTAGAAGGAAATGGAGATAGATCGCACACATGCTGAGGAGACCGCCGAATGACAGCGCGCACCAAACCATAGCTCGAGTGGAACCCAATTGGGAAACGGTGAGGTGTGACAGTGGTGAGATTGTGCGAGGAGGAGATGGGAGACTATGGACAACTGTGGGAACAGTTGTAGAAGACCGCAGAGAACAGGACAATGTGGAAATGTGCTGTTGAAACCCGCTGTCTCACTCGGAACCCAAAGGAACAATAATAACGATGTTCAGTGAGCACAGAATGAGTAAAAACTAAGCTACGAATAGGTCTTGTTTGTCCCCTGCTTCACCATGCAAGATGGTGTTCAGAAATCTGGTGATGAACATGCCTAACTGTTCACCCACAGCTCCAGGAGAGTCGTCAAACTGGCAGATACACACAGTAGAGGCAAAATTAAATAATTTGTTCTTAATTTTTCAGTGTAAAATTGCAGTGGTTTTGAAGAGACAGGTGTAGTATTTGTAAAACTATCTTTAATTGTTGTGGCATTGATTTGCTACCTAATTTTATCTGATATTCAATCTGACATTACACGTTTTTATGCATATTATCATGGAGTCATGCGTTTGAACTGTAATTCTATTAATAGTCTTAAGAAATGTATATTACTTACAAAAAACATCAGTGTTGTTAACAAGAATCACTCCTTAAATATTACCTTTTTACATGTAACTGTTGAATCTACCGAAGAAGTTATCGAAAAGAGCATTCTTTTCTCAATCATGTTGTCCTCTAAATGCTTTTATTTTCCTGTCTATTCCAAATCAATATATATATATATGTATATATATGGCAAGAGTTAGGAATGGATGCCGCATCAAAGTTTCATTGAACCACATAATCAGACCTCGCCATTACATATGGATGCTGTTCGTTATCTTCGTTGCAAGATTCATCCAAAATTGGTTTTTTACTTCTATGTGCAAAATGGGTTGATAGGGAAGACTAAAACATCCACGCGTGGAGAGGTAATGACTCTTCAAAAGTATTCTTAGGCTGCTGACGGTTTTGCATTCAAAGATGTAATCTCTGTCAAAGCTGGAAGTCTGTACGAGTTGGTATTATTATTATTGTTTCCTTTAATTCCTAGAGGAACATAGGGCTTCAGCCGTGCGTCTCCGTTGCGTTCGGTTCTCTGCTAGAATCTTCACCTGGCTCCATTTCTGCCCATACGTTTTCATCTCCTCTTCACACGACCTCCTCCAAGTCACCCTTGCACTGACGACCAACTCGCCGCTTCCCTTTCGGTTTCCACTCGAGCGATGGCCTGTCTAGTGATGTCACTTGATGGTTTCCTCAGAGTATGGCCAATCCATCTCCAATTCTTCCTGCATATTTGTTTGACAATCGGCTGGTTCGCTCCCAGAGATCTCTGTTGCTGATCTTTTCTGGCCGGCCATCTGATCTTGAGTATTGAGCGAAGACAACTGTTAATGAAGGTCTGTAATTTGTTTGAGATGCTCTTTATGACGCGCCAAGTCTCTGGTCCGTAAAGTAGCATTGACTTCACATTGGAGTTGAAAATCCGGATCTTTTCTTCGTTTTGATGCTGAGTGCTGTTGACCTCCACACAGACTTGAGAGTAGTGAAAGCTTGTCCAGCTTTTCCGATTCTTGCTTTGACATCCTCATCAGTTCCGTCCGCCTGTAGTTGAAACGATGCTTCCCAGGTAGGTAAAGGAGGTTGTTTCTTTCAGGTTCCTTCCATTTATGCTGATTGTTGTCTGTTGCTGTTGTTGGTGTTGCCCAGGAATCTTCACCACTTCTGTTTTCTCTATGTTCACCTGAAGTCCTATCTTTGGTGATTTTTTTAGATACTTTCCTCACGAAATCGAAACTTTGCCTTACTAAAATATTCGGTATATTGCTACACTTGGCTACTGAAACAACCAGTGTCTGCTACAGGTGCAGAAACAGAGAATACTAAAGTGCCAACAGTACAGTGATATCAGTACTGTGGGGATATATCACCTCACAGAAGATCAATAGAATTACTTGTGTTCTTAGAGGAATTGATGTCGTCGTCCATACTGGCGAAACAGTACCTATTATAAACGAAAAATGAGTCACAGTGGGAGAGGAGCAAACCATGTTTAGGTGGTGGGGGGACTGTACAACAAAAATCTGGAAAAAGGGTTACTAGAACACATTGCAAACAGAGGTGCCGACGTTTTAATACCAATAATAATACAACATCTAGTCCTCCCAGGCAACACCAAATCATACAGATAAGTGGAAAGGCTATTTGTAACTATCATAATTAGGCTACACATTCACCATAAAATGAATTATTCGTTAGAATTAGCGGGTCGTATAAGTGGTGCTCATACATATCGCATTATGGGATTTTAGGCCCATCTAACGAAACGGATAAGAATGGTAAATGGTTCGTGAAACGATATGGCATACAGTCACTTAGATGAATTTTTGTAGCGATATTAGTTTAATATGCCTATGACCACCACCCGTATGAAAAACTGGGACCTCTTTTTGCAGCACATTATTGATATATACCCTGCATTATAATTCATTTTCATTGTAACATATTACGCAGGATGTTAAAGGTTGTCAGCAGGGTAAGCAAAGTGCCACTTAACCAGCTTGTTAATATTCTGGTCGACAGGCACATGGACTCATGTGAAAAATGGGCCAAATCCATTTTATCTAACTCACACCACCCTCTTCACTCACAACTCTCCCCTTGCATCTCATCAGGTAAAACCAGAAGCCAATATAGAAAACTATATGCTCGCACCAGCAAGTACAAAAACTCAACCATACCCTACTTAGCTCGTGTTCTGTGTGATAAAGAAAGCATTAGGCGTGACACCTATAATTCATTAAATAGTCAGTAGTACAACTGGATCTCGTCTTTCCAACTCACATCATCAATAGGTACAACATTTTCTTTCTTTCCTTTCGTTTTCTCCCTCTTCTTTTTCCGTTATGTGCTGCTTTGTTTCTTTCTCTCGCTTACGCCAGTTAATAAGACAGCTCCTACTTTTCTAACACCTTCAAACACTGTTCAGCTTTGGCTTTGCTACCGACATGTCAATATGTTGTTGTCATAATGAACTGAGATTTCTTTATTCTATGTAGAATTTTATTTATTGTTAATGTACAAACTGGATGCAATACTGTAGTAAAAATGCTGAGAATTCCATTCTGTATCACATGTACTGTTTTGGAATAAAGCAAATTATTATTATTATTATTATCTATGTATCACAATGTCGGTTTTCTTTATCCTTCTTATCTTCTCTTAGGACGAATGATCATAGAGTATTACTGTTTACAACACCATCAGAATTAACTCGACTTAGTACACAATGTCTGCATACAATACGAACAAATGTGATTCAAAAGATTTTAGACGGAATCTCCGGTGAACAGCAACAACATCAACAACACAACACTGTTGCATTGTACAATAACGGGAATAATAGTAATAATATTAATCATAATAATAATATTAGCGATGATAATATTAGCTCCACTTTATTTCATAATTCTATTTCTCAAATTCACTTGCCTTATCCTGTGAAAAAATTAATTTTAAGAAATTTTATCAATTAACTCTTAGTGTCATTATTTTAATTCAAAGGTTGTTTGTATGTGTGTGTGTGTATAATTTTGAGCAGTAGTGCATTTTTTTAAAATTACAGACACAAGCATTTTATTTTTCAGTTTATCTGATTTGCTAGCTGTTGCTTTCTGCCTTTATCTCTCTGTTTGATATACAGTTTTAAAAGAAGCACACACGCAATTTGAGCATAGCTATTTTGGTTAACTCTAGTCTTAAATCAATTAATTGAATTTTGTTATTTTTTATTCCTTTGTGTTCCAAGTGGAGCATAGGGTTTTATGCTTGAGCTTTAAATTTTCACTAGTACTGGCATTTCTTTGTTTTCATGAGGTGTGTGTGTGTGGGGGTTCTAGCCCCATGCCCAGCCTTCCCTTCTTGTCGGGTTTATAACCAGCTAGGGGAGGTAAAGGTGTGCGCCGCCCCTCACTCACCGCTATCGGGAATCGAGTCCTTCGGATCACGTGAGGTGTGGTTGGTGAGCAGTCTACCGCTGTGAACCACTGATGTGTGTAGTTGAATTTTTAATTTTCATTCACATTGTATATTTATAAAACAAAAGCACAATAAACAAGCCTATTCTATATTATATCTGTGATAGTCTCCTCGTTTGTTATAGTCTTTCCTACTTTCTCCGCTGGTTTTATTCGTATATTATCTATTTCCTGTTTAAATATAATCTCTTTAACATTATATTGATACACACACAGAGTGCACATATGCACGCATGGTGCAGTAATTATGATCTCATGAGTTTATCTCTTTTTTGGACGACTTTTTATTTATTGTATCGCTTAATGAATTATGCTTTTATTACTTATCATCATTGTACAATTATATTGAATATTAAAAAATTGATAATATAACTGTTTGTATATTTATTTAATATTTTATGATTATGTTATCCTGGTGCTGCGATGTGACTAATTGGATAAAGTGATTCATTTTTTTTAGTGAGTTGATTACTTATTCGATTACGGACTCCACCTACGTCAGCTTGGAGAGTATCATTAGCCTTCTCACACACACGCAAACAATAAGTGTGATGTATAAAATTCCTTTCCCAAGTAACTGAGTTCTAGCATAGTGTTGTTTATCAGAAGATGACTAAATGGTCTGTTAATGAGCTTGGTGTCTTAACCTGAAGGTCCCTCCCTGATGGGGTCGTGGATCTTCACTGATGATGAGTCACTAATTGATATCGGTTTGTGACAAAAATCTAACAGTTGGAATTAATCGAAAATCCCCACGAATCCTGTAATATAAAAATATCAGTCGCCAGCTTACTGATGGTTACTGGGTGAATTTCCTGAAGTTGCAGTGGGAAGTCATGACTAGTGGAAGTCCACAACCATGTCAAAGTGAAGGGATGAGGGTAGTGCGGTATTTAAGAGATGAAAAAGTTGGGATTCACACTAATTGGCTGAATGATCAATTCCCTTGATCTCGCAATCTGATGGTCCCTGGTTCGAAGGTGGGTCGTAGGTGTTCACTGATGAAGAGTCCCAAGCTCGGACGAAACAAGCGTCCAATGCTCCATGGTTTTCAGTGGTCTATCTAACTGATGTCGGTTAGTGACGAAAATCTAACAATTTATGGATGGTAAAGTTTTAAACGTTGGCGGATTTCTTAAAGAACTGAGTGACCAGCATAATGTATCTAGTATTCTCTATTTCTTCTTGTGTTTGTTTCAATCTTCTAATTATGTCTTTGGATTGCAACGCGAATTTATGCAAATTTTTAATTGGTTTCCAGCCTATAGCTGTGCACTTCAAGAAGAATATGAAGGAAAAATCTCTTAGAAGACTGAGTCTTGTTTCAGACAGATTAATACTGCGTTATACGATATACTCTATCGATGAATATTTTACTTGAACATTCTATACGGGGAGTAAATATTTTCAAAGAAATTGCAGTGAAAATTCTGACAATATGTTTAAACATAATTTCCAGAGTAAAGTTGGTAGTATTATTACTATTATTTGATGAACGTAGCTTGAATGAGTATTAGTCACTGCCTTGTCCATTTTAACCGAACCGGTATTATTTCGGTAGAAAGTTAGATCGTCTTGTTTTAGCATCTTTTTTACAGCTATACTAACCGATATCAGCTGGTGTCAGGCCGTAACAAAATGCGCATCAAGATGTGTCGACTTCCTAAAGGCCTAATCATGAAATCATTTGTATCGGTCAGATACCTTAGTCTCACCTCAGTGAATACGTCCACCTTCGCTAGCTATTCTACATGATTGTTGGAAGCTCCTTATTTCACCTTGGTAGATACTTATTTGATGGAACAGTAACTTGTAAAGAGCAGATCAGGTTAACATTACTGAATTCTTATTATTATTTCCTTGGGTTCTGAGTGGAATGTAGGGCTTCAGCAATACATCTCCGCTTTGTTCTGTTCTCTACGGTCTTCTTTAACTGTTCCCACGAATGACCACAGTCTCCCAACTCCTCCTCGCACAGTCTCCCCCGTGTCACCCGCGGACTCACGCCTCGTCGTTTCCCATTCGGGTTTTACTCAGATTAATGAAATCTTTGATGGGAAAACAAGCACCTATGATTCTCTGCAGCCCACAGTCAGTGATATCAAAATGCGGATACTGAGCCTTCTGGAAAAAATCCGACAGTTATGCTAGAGAAAACATCTACTGAGCATCAGCAACCAACCAACCTCTAGCGTGTTACGAGATCAGTCCAACCATCGTACCAGTGTGCTCAACATTGTACGTTTCTGGTAAGTGTCAAGGCGCACAAAACTTAGTAAATCTATGAATTCTTGACGGCTCTCTCTAACCGGTAAATATGGCGTTAATATGTTGCGTTCTACTCCGATCTTATTGGATATCACTATTCATTCTTAACCGACAGTCTTTACATTATACGGTGTATAAAACAACGCTGGCTGTATATATTAGAATAGTATACAATAGTAAAAGTTACTTAAGTAATATTTAATCCTTCCAATTAACAAATATCATTTTTATTCCATCATACATACATTTTAATATAATCACAAAGTATAGTACAGTATACAAAATAAGGTCAGTTTGAGGATATTTATGTGTAACACTGCATCTGATGTGTTTACTTATAACTTCAGTCAAATACTTACACTTATATAGGCATATTTGTACAAATAGATATCTCTGTATAGATGCGAACACGTGATAGGATACATTTCTAAAATGACATGCTCGCTTACATGATTTATTTGGCCATTTGAAATAGCCTTATTTCCAACGATTATATCTAAATTAAATATTTTTTTCATTTCTTTACGTTCCCAGTGGGACATAAGGCTCAAGCTAGAGGCTTGAAATTTCGGTAGCAGTGGTGTTCATTTTGACAGAGTAAGGTTGCTAGCCCTTTAGTGGAACCCGAAAGGGAAGCGGCGAGTTGGTCGTCCAAGGGTGACTTGGAAGAGGTCATGTGAAGAGGAGATGAAAACGTGTGGACAGACATGGAGCCAGGTGAAAACTCTAGCAGAGAACCGAACGCAATGGAGACGCACGGCTGAAGCCCTACGTTCCTCTAGGAATTAAAGGAAACAATAATAATAAGGTTGCTAGCTTCATATGCCCAACCTTCCCTCTTTACCGGTCTTGTTACCGGCTTAGAGGGGTTAGGGAGTGTGTCGGCCGGGGACCGAACCGCGGACCACATGCGTGGTTGGCGAATATTCTACCGCCAAGCCACCGACGCACAAATTAAATATATTAGCAATTAAAGGCAACGTAAAAATCGGTGACTCTGTTAATAATGCGACTGTAGATCATCTTTCTCAGCTGCTTACATTTTTACGTTAGTCTCTCTTAAAATATTTGCACTGTTGTTTATTAACATGTTCGAGTTTTCCTCCCGTTTTATCAAAAATGCGATCCTGTCAAGCCAGGAAGTACCTAATTTCACCCTCCTCCAGCTCTCTGAGCTGAGCCAAGACAAGTACAGAGTTGGCGAACTCGCCTTCGAAGGAAGAGAAGCAACAGTCTGGTGTTTAAATCATTTCGACCTGGCTGAATAACAAGCCCAACTTGTTGATGTCAGTGGTATCGAACTACTCATCTCAATCAATCAGTAGTATAACGCGTCATGCATTCATGATTGTTCTCTTGATCTAGCAGATCAAATATTGCGCCATGCCCACAAGTTGGAAGAGGACATGGAGGCGATCGTGCTTGAAGGAGATGAAAGCTAATGAGAAATCGTGGCGACAGCTGTATATGACTGCATAGGACAGAGTGAAATGCAGATGTGCTGCTGAAGCCCTATTTTCCATTCGCAATCCAAAGAGAAATAAGAATAATATACATTTCAAATATACTAATTTTTCTGTATTCTTATTATCTATGGTGGTGTGATACAGACAATGCGTGCGAACCGAATGTTATTCTCACATGTTCAATACTGCGTACAATAAATCTATTTGAACATTCTATTTGAGATTAGAGACAGATTAATTCCTCACAGTTCAATACTGCATTGGCAACAGAATACTATGTGTGTATTTGAACATTCTATTTCATGTCGTTTGATGTAAACCAAAATCATACGCTCAGTGATTCATTAACGAGTTTAAACTGTAGATACATTAACAGCGGTTTGATTAGTGAAAAATACACCTTAGCTCTTGTGTCTTGCCTTCTGTTGTAACAATCGAACTGAATAGGATGAATGTAAAATGCTGGTGTTTATTTCCCATTATTGGTAAATACATAAACACTTACAAGAACAACAAATTGAGTAGGTCAGTATGATGCCATTGTATTCTGTCGGTTCTTATTAACTGCATATAACTTGAAATAATCTTAGTTGCACTCAAATATATATATATATATATATATATATATATATATACTCTGGTATATTAGATGGTTATAGGCGATTTGCGAAAAACCCTGGCCGTAGGTTTCGTGCTTATTGGCAACTACCAGTCAGCATCGACCGATAAGAAGACTGTAGGAGATCTGGATTTCGCATATGATTT